GAATCAGCCTTAATGCAAGATAGAGTTATGGAACTTGGTCAGTGACATACAATTATGACCCTCCAATTATGACCCTAAGTGCATGTGTAAAGTTTCAAGTAAAAATCTTTGAAGACCTTTAACCTTTAACCAAAATTTCTAAGTTTCAAAGGGGCAAATAATTCTGCAAATATTGCAGGCAGAGTTATGCAATTTTGCAAACTGATGTACATTGATACTATAAAAAAGTATTTTAAATTTCAATTGAATATCTCAAACAATAATTGAGATATTAGACTTTACAAAAAAACTTTAACTAAAATTTCTAAGTTAAAGAAGGGCATAATTCTGTCAAAATTGTAGGCAGAGTTATCCAACTTGTCAATCTGATGTACCTTGTTACTATAAATAAGTATTGTAAGTTTCAATTGAATATCTCTAGCAATAATTGAGATATTTGGCTTTACAAAACACTTTAACCAAAATTTCTAAGTTAAAAGGGGCATAATTCTGTCAATATTGTAGGCAGAGTTATCCAACTTGTGAATCTGGTGTACCTTGTTACTATAAATAAGTATTGTAAGTTGCAATTGAATATCTGAAGTTATAAATGAGATATTTGACTTTATAAAAAACATAAACCAACGCAGACGACGACGCGGACGCTGACGCCGGGGCGACTACAATAGCTCTCATATTCTTCGAATAGTCGAGCTAAAAATGTAAAGTATAGTTCTTGTCATTCTCAAATTGAAATGAAACTAAAATTTTAATGATAGTTCTTAAATAAAATAGTTCTTTAACCTTCTAGCAAAACTACACAGATATTTGTTTAACAAAACTTCCTACAGTAAATACTACAAAACATTTTACACTACAGTTACAGTGAATGATGTGAAGGTCTAATTACATTTTCTGGTGAACATTTTATGTTACATAAGAACTTACTGATTTTTAATTTTCCAAAATAACGTGACCATAAAAATTGATAACATTCACGATCCTGTAAGATTACTCATGCATCAAAGAAAAAAGTGTCTGATATATCAAATGATCATGCATGTTTCAGTTGATATAATGTTTATACTTTACACTATTAAGTGTTGAGAATTGAGTACCTCTCAAGCCGGTGCTAGGGGGCGTGAGGGACGTTGCACGTATTCATTATCCCTCATGTACAGACTCAATCAAACCGAGTCTGCAATTCTCTTGTAATTTTGTTGTGATTAATGCTTCCGAGGGATCACTTTGTTTCCAGATTTTTAGCTCACCTGTCACAAAGTGACAGGGTGAGCTTTTGTGATCGCTTTTCGTCCGGCGTCCGTCCGTAAACTTTTACTTTAAATGACATCTTCTCATAAACCACTAAGCCAATTTCATCCAAACTTCACAGGAATGTTCCTTTGGTGGTCACCTTTCAAAATTGTTCAAAGAATTTAATTCCATGCAGAACTCTGGTTGCAATGGCAACCGAAAAAAACAACTTTAAATATCTTCTTTTAAAAAACCATAAGAGCTAGAGCTAAGATATTTAGCATGAAATATGTTCTAATGGGTGTCTACCAAGTTTGTTCAAATAAAAGCCCTGGGGTCAAAATTGGCCCCGCCCCGGGGGGTCATTGATTTTCCCTATATGCATATAGTAAAAACTTAAAAACTCTTCTTTTAAAGAACCAAAAGAGTTAGAGCTAAGATATTTAGCATGAAACATGTTCTAATAAGTGTCTACCAAGTTTATTCAAATAAAAGCCCTGGGGTCAAAATTGGCCCTGCCCCGGGGGGTCATTGATTTTCCCTATATGCATATAGTAAAAACTTAAAAACTCTTCTTTTAAAGAACCAAAAGAGTTAGAGCTAAGATACTTAGCATGAAACATGTTCTAATAAGTGTCTACCAAGTTTATTCAAATAAAAGCTCTGGGGTCAAAATTGGCCCTGCCCCGGGGGGTCATTGATTTTCCCTATATGCATATAGTAAAAACTTAAAAAATCTTCTTTTAAAGAACTCAAGGAGCTATGGCTAAGATATTTAGCATGAAACATGTTCTAATGGGTGTCTACCAAGTTTGTTCAAATAAAAGCCATGGGGTCAAAATTGGCACCGCCCCGGGGGTCATTGATTTTCCTAACATGTGTATAGCAAAAGCTAAAAAAAATCTTCTTTGAAAAAAACCAAATAGCTAGAGTTAAGATATTAGGCATGAAACATCTTTTAGTGAGTGTCTACAAAGTTTGTTCAAATAAAAGACCTGGGGTCAAAATTGGCCCCGCCCCGGGGGTCATTGATTTTCTTTATATGTGTATAGCAAAAACTTAAAATCTTCTTTGAAAAAACCCAAATAGCTAGAGTTTAGATATTAAGCATGACACATCTTCTAGTAAGTGTCTACAAAGTTTGTTCAAATAAAAGCCCTGGCCCGGCCCCAGGGGTGTCATTGTTTTTAACTATATGTGTATAGTAAAAACTTTAAAAAAAATCTTCTTTTAAAAAGCCCAATGAGCTAGAGCTTAGATGTTTAGCATGAAAAATCTTCTTATGGGTGTCTACCAAGTTTGTGCAAATAAAAGCCCTTGGGGTTAAATTGGCCCTGCAACGTTGGGGGTGGGGGTTGGAGAGGCCTATATACAGGTGAGCGACCTCAGGGCCATCATGGCCCTCTTGTTTCATATATTTTTTACAGATAAATCAAGTATTTATAAATATATATTTGCCTACCGATTGCGTAGATGTTGATGTTAAAAATTGAGTTCCTTTACAGAAACACGATAGGATCATTTATAGGAACGCATACACCTTATAGTGCTCCCCTTTGCAAGATCAATCTAACCATCGATTATTCTGTCAATTGAAAAGTATTCTTTACATAAGAAAGGTTATTTTTGCGGATTTTCAGTGTATTTCTCACTCTATCTGTATGTGTTTTATTTTACCAACCAAACGTTCTAATTTTTAAAACTCCCGTTCAACTTTCGTTTTGATTAAACTTTAATTGTTTAAGTAATTCTTTTTAAATCTAAAATGATATTCAGTATATTATATAAGAATTAATTAAAACATTTTCATGGTGAATGAAAATGAACTGTAACGAGCCAACTTTCACACAATTAATATGGTAATTCTATCTCTAGTAGTCACAATTGTTTTGTTTGTGAAACCAAGGACGGTTTACAAAGTTTTTATGGTCAAGGTCAAACCTGAACTGCTTAACATGACAATTGTAAGGCTATTGTTTGTTTAATCAAGTATTTATCAATCCATCCATATTAAAAATTAATGGGCATCTTGAGCAAAAGTCAATAATTTTAACATAAATGCCAAAGTCAAGTGCATGTTGACTTACTTGCAGGTATGTATTTCAAGGTTGTTATGTCCGAAAATAAATAATTCTAATCGTAAATTTGAGCTAAATTCAACAATTGGGCCTTGATGGTAAGGTCATATTTGTGTTGCTAAATAATCGTCTTATACCAAGTGTTGTTTTGTCCAAGTATGAATCAAATCAATCTATTAAAAATACAATACTGGTCAATTTTTGCAAAATTCAATAAATTGACCTTCAAGGTTAAGGTCAAACACAAATTATTTAACATGGTGGTTGAGATAAGTCTTATTTTGTCAAAGCATGAATCAAATCAATCCCTAAAGAACAAATTCATGGCCAATGTTAGTAAAATTTAATTATTTCATAATAAAGGTCAAGGTCATACCAAAGTCAAGGTCAAGTTGAGTTTGACCTACTTAAGGTTAATGTAGTAAGAGTTGTTATGTTCAAGTATGAATACAATATCCATATTTCTAATGACAAAGTTATAGTCAATTTCAGCAAAATTTAAGGAATTAAGAGCACAAATCTCTTCCTTTAATCTGTACTAGCATAGAACTGGAAAAATAGAAGTTCAATAGTTTTTTGCATAAGTAACATTTATTTCTGTTGCCAAAGTAAAGAACTGATTATCACAGTTTGGAAAACAATGACTCATTATGCCCAACACTTTTTCCAAATTCAAAATCCTTTGATGCATGACTGAGATATGAACCGGAAAAGATTTTTTTAACTGCTGACCTTTGACCTCTTAGTCTGACCTTGACATTGGAGCTTAAATTATTGCTCTATTGCATTACACACTGTCTCATCATGCTACACATTTGCACCAAGTTACAATCGAGCCCGCCTCACCATCACATTAGATATTATGACAAATTTATTCAGATATCAAAGTTTTTTTTTATCAGATTTTAAGACCACCTGACTATTACAAATACAAACACTTTCTTCTCCTTACCAAATAACAAAGGCGCATGTATTCTAAATCCGCTATTCAGTACAGTCCCTTGATGGTAACTTGTGTCAACACTTAGTATCTATGTGTGTGTTTGGTTTATCTATTAGTTATTGTTAATAAACTGTCATAAGGAGTTTTTTTTTCTAATTATTAACCTATAATTTTTACCTTGTGTATGTCTTATAGTTGTCACTTATTAATAAAAGTGAATTTATCATCGTACTATCTATGTTTTTTATGTTTCTTTAGTAAATGGTAACAAAAGATTAACAACAAAATTGACTGCTTTAATGCCTTTGTTGATTATTTACCACAGTTTCCAATTGAAATTAAGTTAAAAAGTTTGTTTTACTTTAAAAAAATTCTAGTTTGGTTTTGCACATTTCACATTGTCTCATCATGCCTATCATTTGTGTCTAAAGATTTTCACATCTCTTGATGCATGACCGACCAGACAAGGCTTTTGTACACAGGCAGGTACAGACGGACAGGGGTAACACAGTCATATGTCCCTTGCCATTATCATGGCAGGGGATAATGGCAGGGTAATAAAGCTTACAAAAATCATTTTGTCTACTGATCAAGAGCTATTATCATTTGAACCGTTATTTGTTTATCCAAATATTCTCAAAAATTGTACAAATCGGAACCAAATTGAAATGAAAAAAATAACATAACTCCTCTATTTTCAGGGGACAACAAGGTCATAAGTTAACAAAATACATTCATTTCTGTTTATTAATTTATTTTTCTTCTAAACAAACAAGATTTTTTAAAGAAATAAACCTCTATTGAATAAGAATACAAATTCAAAAATAATCAGATCAAAAATAGAAACATGTAGAATCAATATTTGGATCAACTGTTCTTATCATAATATCAAGAATGTTAAATCACAAATCAAGTAGTTCTTTAAAGCATTTTCTAAAGTTCTAGAATGTTCACATAACACTGAATTAATTATGTAAACTGTCATATAATAACCCTGCATTGTTAATTCATAGTACCTTTACATTAATTGTCTCCCTTTACAAATTCATAAAACACATTCCCTTTACAAATACTTTTTGTATGATCTATATAAAAGTAACTTTTATACACTTTTATTGCATAAAGCGTAACTCTGGCAGTACAAATAAGCATGAAAAGAAAAGAAAATGAGCCGCGTCACGACAAAACCAATATAATGGGTTTGCGACCAGCATGGATCCAGACCAGCCTGCGAATCTGTGCAGTCTGATCAGGATCTACGCTGTACGCTTACAAACCCTAAAACAAGTAGAGAAACTGATAGCGAACAGCATGGATTGTGATCAGACTGCAAGGATGCGCAGGCTGGTCTGGATCCATGCTGGTCGCAAACCCATTATGTTGGTTTTGTCATGATGCGGCTCAAATCACTTCACACAGGTCTCATTGATGAAGTAAATGAGCATATTTTTCAACCAATATGATGCCAGGTTTATACAGTAATTGTTGAATTAATAATTGATCATTATATCATTATATGCATAAATATACTCTGGTGCGATATGATTAAACATTTATTACTAAATCATGCTTTTTCAATTAAATAATTATATCCGTAACAGTGCACTTATAGTTAAAGTATTAAACTAGTGTACGCCAATAAATGCACCGCTAGTGTCTGCAAGTAATTCTAGTTATGGCTGGATATACATAAAGATTCAAAATCAAAATCATGAAATTTAACAATAGCATAAAGTGATATATGTAATGGCCATTTGCTTGTGTAATCAATATGAATTAACAACCCTGATTTACATCTTTCTAGCGAGATTACTACACATACGATCTCCAAACATCCTCTTATGCTAACATTAAATGATTAGTTATTAGTTTGTTAGCACTAACAAGTCCTGGTTAGATATTAGTTATGTCATCTCTCTAGCTGCGATTTTTGGATAGCTTCTTCTACAACATTTCTCATATAGTTCATTGTCTCCCTTGGATTATCACTTCCCATGATGGCACTCCCTGATACAATCATATTAGCTCCTGCCTGAAATATATCAAGGATTCAAACTTGACATTTTCATGATGATTCATAATGAAAGCCATAAGTACCTGTGTGAAAGTTTGCATAAATATTAAACAACTTATTTGATCCACTGTTATTTCATAGGTAAATATTCCTAACAGTTTCAAGATAATACACTTTACATCCATAATCCTTCATAATAAAGGGCCATAACTCTTCACCTTTCTTATGAAATCAAATATGAACTTGCTTGTCCCAATTCCCTTGTAAGTGTGAACATTTAACTAGAGTTTTATAAATCTATTACTTGTGATTATCTAGATTTGACTCACTACAGACAGAAAATGTAGTATCAAGATCAAATCGGTATCTCTCTGCTTACAGAAGGGGTTGTTGTAAATCTTAATTAATTTTTCCAGTCTGAGACAATGACATGTACTTCTGATAAAATTTTTCTTCATTCTCTAAATCAAATAGGGTAAATAAAACAGTCAAAATGGAAACATTTAATGTTGGCCAACATGGCAAAATTGAACATATCACAGGCTTCATGGACAGCAGTGGTAAATATAATTTGGTTCTAGCACCAGTATAAGCAAACCTGAATATTTCCACATGAAACTTGTTATTTATTATTTAGAAACATCCACTTATGAGTTATACTTACATCAGCACACTGTTGTATAGTTGATGGTCCTACTCCACCGTCCACCTCTATATCTATATTACTGAAATGCTCTCTCAAAAACTTTATCTGCAACAGATAGTCAATAAAATAAATGTCAAGTAAAACACAGTTTCCTTTTGTTATTACAAGTATATATATCTCTACCACAAAGTACATGCTTCTTCTCATCTTTACAAACTAAATACATAACTTTCTTTCTTTACCAATCAGGAGACACTTGTTTCTTTCTATACAGACTATTGTTTGTTTGTTATATTTTTCGCCTTTTTCCAACAGTATTTCCGTCATATAGGCGGGTAGTTTTCTAACCATCGTTCCTGGAGAGTTACACCAGTACTAGACTAACTTCCTCTGCGCTAAACTACCAAAGCATCTCCCGGGGATCGAACCCACGCCAGACAGGTAACTGAATTAGAAGTCATCGACTCTAACCCCTCGACCACGGAGGCGGTTAAGTAAATACTACTTGCTACCTTTACACAGTAAGTGGGAATTATTGTGGTGGTGTTGGTAGTTTTCACTCCGGATTACGACAGTGTCACCTGATTCACAGTCCAACGCTCTACCTATTTAGTTCAACAAGTGGCTAGTGGGTATTATTTTCTATTTCTACCCAATAATAAGGTACTATCTCTACCAGCTAATTAGAAACAACTTTGATCTTTACCAATTAAGAAGGTGCTATTTTCCAGCTTTATCCACATAAAAGGTGCTATCCCACTGAGAGGTACTACCACTAAATAGTAAAATTTTTCTAACTTTACTCAGTAAGTTGTAACTAACTCTAAATAGAAACTGTTTTTCATCATTAACCACTAAATGTATGAAATATCTTTTTCTTCTGGATTTCAACAAAATTTCTCTACATTTATTTCATTTAAATGTACATGTAATTCCCTTTTCAGGTAAACTTGTATAAAATTGTTCAGTAGAAAGTGCTGACATACTGAAAGATGGTTGGATTAAGGATGATAAAAGTTAAGGCTCTATGTTCATTAAAAACAAGTAAGATCCCAAACAAAGTTATTTTTATGTTACCATACAGAAAGTTATGCGACATTTTATAAGACAGTTTTCCCTTGCCGACTTTACAAAAATTTACATATAAACACAAACTTGAAAAATAATGAATAAATAAAATTACTTTTGGCATCATATCCCCCATGAACTTTTGTCCACCAAATCCAGGCTCTACTGTCATAATCAGTACCATGTCAACCAGTTCAACAAATGGCTCTAAAACATTCACTGGTGTATTTGGTTTGATCCCAATTCCAGCCTAAAATATTGTAATTGTTCAAAATAGACTATTAAGATGTCTCTTATTATAAAATAAATATACAGGGAAAAGAACCGTGGTCTTTATTGAAGTACAATAAAATTATAATGCATGTTAGAACAATAAAAATCAAAATAAATAAGTTTTAATCTTATAACTAGAACTCTGCGGGTCGGATGTGTCGCCTTGTGAACAATATAGTTAAAGAGAAAAGGCGAAGACAAAAATGAAATTTGAAAATCATCAAAGGGCAATAACTCATAAAATAAGAAATGCAGATCAGCAGTTTCTGTGCACTGCACTCATATCAATAAGATCTATCATCCTATTAAGTTTCAAGTCTAAAGCTTTTATAATTTATGAGAAATGGCCTGGACAAAAATAAAGTATGAAAATTAACAAAGGGCAATAACTCAAAAATTAAGAAATGCAGATCAGCAGTTTCTGTGCACTGCACTTCTTATTAATAAGATCTATCATCCTTTTAAGTTTCAAGTCTAAAGCTTTTATAATTTATGAGAAATGGCCTGGACAAAAATAAAGTATGAAAATTAACAAAGGGCAATAACTCAAAAAAATAAGAAATGCAGAGTACAAGTTCTTGGGCACTGCACTTTTTCTTAATGAGATCTTGTTCTTAATGAGATCTATCATCCTATGAAGTTTCATGTCCATAGCTTTTAAACTTTAGGAGAAAAGGCCTGGACAAAAATAAAGTATGAAAATTAACAAAGGGCAATAACTCAAAAAATAAGAAATGCAGAGTACCAGTTCTTGTGCACTGCACTTGTTCTTAATGAGATCTATCATCCTATGAAGTTTCAAGTCCATAGCTTTTATACTTAAGGAGAAATGGCCTTGACAAAAATAAAGTATGAAAATTAACAAAGGGCAATAACTCAAAAAATAAGAAATGCAGAGTACCAGTTCTTGTGCACTGCACTTCTTCTTAATGAGATCTATCATCCTATGAAGTTTCAAGTCCATAGATTTTATACTTTAGGAGAAATGGCCCAGACAAAAATAAAGTACAGTCGACTCTCGTTATCTCGAAGTCTTCGGGACCGTCAAAAAAATATCGAGATAACGAAATGTCGAGATAAACGTATGAGGGTTTGAACATGTAAAAAACTAATTTTTACAGAAGACATGCGCATACCTTATAAGTCAAATAAGTACGATGTTTCATAATCTTGTGTCAATCCTTATAATAAAAAATAACAATTTGTTACATAATTTAACGGATGTTTACCAGCGGAAATACAGCATTTAGGTGCTATGTGATAAACACATAGTGAGGTTTACTCAGTTATACACCACTAAAACAAAAACGTTGTTTTCTAACCTAATTTATTTATTTATTTAGTACTTTAACATTGCATAATAACACATATTACATGAACATATTTCATAGCAATCATTTTGTAAGAGTAATAGCACATTTATAAAAGCACACAATTTATGAATAGTTAGCACGTTTATTAAATTTACCGATTATTCGATAACAAGTTTACAAAATGATATCACTTGCAGTAAAGTTTATTCGAATGATAGCACACAGTATTAAACACATTTTAATCACTTTTCTTAAAGAATGATGTAATGTCCGTTTGTTTTCCGCATCTGACTGCTAGGTGTTTCCTTGAAATGTTTCGCTCGATGTCATCGAATTTGGAAATGATATGGTCGTTGTTGTCTATGGATTCAAGAAATGATCGAATTGTGTCACATGCCTCAGTCTCGCCATTTCATCTGAAGAACAGGACCTTCAACAGATATGTTTTGTGACCTAGCATTTTCAAACCATTTCAACATCGCTTCATCTACTTCTGTATTTTCAACACGCTAATTAGATTAACAATTATTTCAAAACACCTTGACTTGTTACAAACATATCATCATCAATTCTTATGACATGCGCTTTGAGCGATAACCGTCCGCTTTGTGTTTTTCACACCTCTGCGGGAGGGCGCAGACGAACAATTATTTGTCGAGATAAACAAAGGATTATAGTGTGAAAAGAACTATTGGGACTGAAATATCACATCGAGATACTGAAAAAATCGAAATAAAAATATCGAGATAAAGAAATATATTCAATATAGATAAAGAAGGGGAAAAAACGGGACTTTCAGAATTTGATCGAGATAACGAAATATCGAGAAAAGCGATGTCGAGATAACGATAGTTGACTGTATGAAAATAAACAAAGGGCAATAACTCAAAAAATAAGAAGTACAGAGTACTGGTTCTTGTGCACTGCACTTCGGGTCATTATGAGAAGCATGCATACCAAGTTAGAAGTCAATCCGACTTATAATGACTGACTTATGCTCAAGCTTTGACTGACAAGCTTTAGGGGACACCGACAACGACGACGACAACGACGCCCCGACAAAAGTAACCCCTATATGTTGCCTTTTTCAAGGCGACACAAAAATAATAAAACATTTGCGAGGCAGCTAATATCTGAATGAATTGAAATAAAATCAATTCAAATCAATTACATACATGTGAACTCTCCAAATTTTAGCAGGAGACTCCAACTTTCTCATTCTTCCGCAATATTTTCAAAGATTTTTCTAAAAATAAGGGGTATTTTCACAAATTAAAGAAATCTCCCTATTTTTGATGTCAGAATTTCCTTCTTTATTTATTTAAAATTTTAAAATCTCCCTCTTTTTAAAGAGAAATCTCCCACTTGATCATCAAAAACAGTTCAAATGTATGCAATTAAGGGAAGTAATTTATATCTTATTGAATAATAATAAAATCAAGGGAGGTAATTTAGATCTAAATGAAGAACAATTCAAATCAAGGGAAGCAACTCAAATCTGATCAAAGGACCCAATAAGAATCAAAGAACAGTTAAAAGCAAGAGAAGTAAATTACATTGAATAAATACCAAGGTATGAAACTTAGGCATCAATTTAAAATAGTATTTACCTTCATACCAGCCTCTTTAATTTTACGTATACAAGATTTAGGGTCCTCTGTTGCCTCAAAATGAAATGTATACTGATCCGCTCCAGCCGCCTGCATACTTTCTATCCACTGAAATGTAAAACTATGTTATAGCATTTATTTTTCATCCATTTAAGTATTTAAAACTGAGACAAAGAATGGATTTCTAAATGACAATGAAAAACATGCAACTTAAAACCTGAGCATGGTTGAGTAGTTACTGGTTAACTAATAATCTAAGGATTGCTGTCTGAGCATGGTTTCATACCTCATGAGGGGCAAGCCATTTTTTGTTTCCTCAGCAAGAAACTTTACACTAATTGTTGAACACTGGTTGATTCAAGGTTTTTTTCAGTAAGCTTATTACTTAAATAACCTTTTATAAACTAAGCTTAACAAAGTAAGTTATAAATTAATTTGAATAGCAATGTATTTTTTTCACATCTATTTTAGGCACCAAATAGTCAATCAAATTAAGTTACAACTTTTTACTGCCTTAAATATATTAGTCTCTAATTTACTTATGGTAACAGTATAAACTTTTTAAAAATGTTCCACTCTTACAAAAGGCTGATATGAAGATCTATTTAGAGGATCCAATAATTTTTTTTTCAATTGTCATTTGTGTTGACATTGTGTTTGTTATCCATAATTTTAGCAGATTGACGTGGCAATTCGGTATGTAAATATTAGGGCTGGGGTGAGTATCCGAGTACTCGGATAATCACGAATCAAAGTGAAAAATCGAGTTTGAATATTCGTAAGCCCAGAAATCGTGGATCGCAATTTAATTTTTTTATATACATTCACTGTTTCTCACACTCTTAAAATCCAGAAAAATACGATTTGAGTATAAATTATATGAAGTTTACCTAAATACATATGTACCATGATGCTGAGCTAGGAAGTAATTGGTTTCAAAAAACATAACAAAAATACTCATCCAAAGAATAAAAACATAAACCAAGTTTATATTTTTATATGTTTATTGTTTAGTATTGTTTTTTCTTTTAAATAAACATGTTTTTATAACTAATGTGCATGTTTTTATGGGTGTCTTGATAACAAAAGATTTGTGGTTCGATTTGTGAATTGTAAGTGCTGAATCGTGGTTCAGATCGGATCGTCACTTATCCGACGATCCACACCCCTAGTAAATATTTGTGGTGCTCACGGACCTTGGTACAAGAGTTGAGTACATGAGTATATGTTTCATAACCTTGATTGGCTGTAACCCCTGACGGCAAAGGGCCCATTCGATTGGGATTCTGGGTGATTCCTCTAGAAGCAGCTATTGGTGCTGCAGGCAACATTGACTAGGTGAAACTAATCTGTTCATTAGACAGGCATATTAGTGCATCCAGACCTGGTACACAGACATCTAGATAGGTAAGTCATTTACTTATCATTCACGAATTCGAAAACCTAGCTAAACGCCGTTTTCCCGTACTTTCTGTACATAGCTCTGGGGAATTCACCTTATGGAGTGTCATAGCGAACTCGATGTTTTCGGCCTTTTTTTTAAATTAAATTGAAATAAAACAGTTATTTCTTTATAAGAAAATAATTGAATATCACTGTACTGGTCGGGGACCATCAACCGGACACTTTTTGAACATTTTTCCATACAGATTTCATAATTTTCAACCCAGAGACCTAAAAATTTGGCACAGTACAGCTAGGTTCTTCTCCTAACTAACAAAATAGTTTGTTTATTTCTGATTGTATTAACACTTACATTTGACGCTTGTCAAGGAGGGTATAAAAACTACCTAAATTGTCTACACTACGGTACCATGTGTCCGGACAGATATGTACATGTTGTGATTTAATTCAGATAAAAGCTTGGGTGTTTTGATTTTTGATTTTTAACATGATATACAGTATTTCAGCAACAAATGCTGAAGTTTTGAATATTCTATTGTTTACTCTGCAAATATTTATAGCTGGTATATAAGGTCAGGCATTGCTTTCTTGACCCCCAAATTTCAAAGTCAACATTCTTGAAAGAGACATTAAAATATTACCATTTACGGAGGTTGAAAAAAATTTATTCACTTAATTATAAAAGAAACATGCATTTACTGTCGATAAAAATTGACTGACAACCACTGAACCAAATAAATACTAAATCAAGCATTTTCGGGACCGTCGGGGTTTGGTGGTTGTCCGGTTTTAGTGGTCCTCAACCAGTATGAATAATTCCATACAGAAAAATAAAGTAAATACATGTACACAAGTTTACGCAGAAAATAACCTTATTTATTATGGAAGATTCCACTATGTCTTATTAACTTTTATTGATTTTCATCATAAACAATTTATTTTTTACAAAAATTTGCAATAGATAATCAAGGAAAATTGATAATTTTCAATAACATCAATTTTTTCACCTTAAACGGTAAAATAATGATAGAAAAATAGAAATATCATGTAACTGTGTCATGTACTTTATTTGGTATAATTCCCCAGAGCTAAATCCGCCACTAGTCAAAATATATTGACGTGCCATTGAAGCATGATTCTGAGATATTTTCGTTCTGAGGCAGAATCTCGCTCTAGAGGCGAGATATTGCCCAGACACGTAAATAGCACACTATCTCGTCGTGCAGTACAATTAGTTGGACTAAATCCGCAACGTACCGGAAAACGGTGTTTAGCTAGGTTTTCGAAAAGGTCAATATGGTAGGTTCTACATATTTTACAAACTCCTCGCAGCGGTTACTTCCCCTTATCAGTACAGTAACAAAGTAGCAAAGCGTGACGTAACCGCTGTGAGGAGTTTGCATTTTTCTATCTATCTATCTCTATCTCTGGATACTGCCAACCCCTCTTACGAGTGTTACAGGCAGGTATACATTGTATATACATTTAAGAAACAGCTTTAAGATACAAGGGAATCCGGGAAACACTTTCATAAATCATTTTAAGGACAATAAGTGTTGAAATTTGAATCAATAAAAAATCCAGTTTTTGCACCTAATCCTGCTACAAATCCAGTTTTTGCCCACTTAAGGTCACTCATTATTATTGTTATTTTTGGGTACGTTTTGTCTATGGTCCGAATTAAACTGACATTACCAGTCTTACCAACAATGTCAGGTAAGGCATATAAAGGTATATTTTTAAAATCTTGTTTGTTTATTTATTATCAATATCTACCTGTTCTGGTGCAGCAACCATCATATGCATATCAAAAAACACATTAGGTAATTTTGGTCGTAAACATTTTACAACCGGATGCCCAAATGTCAAATTTGGTACAAACTGTCCATCCATCACATCTAAATGCAGGTAATCTGCGCCACTGTCAACCATTCTCACACATTCTGAGGCTAAATTTGACAAGTCAGAATTTAATATTGATGGTCCAATTTTTGCCCGTCCGCAACCATCACCCATTTTGAAGGAAAATGGGGTCTGTGTAAAAGTTAACCAAGCTCCAACGCAGTGATCTCCCCTCCACGATTGAAAAGCCGGGATCCGGGATCGTATTCCACATAATTATAAATACTGTCCTCTTAGTTCACGGTACTTACACTTTTAAGCATGAAAGAAAACAACAAATGAAACTTTTCGCACGAAAATCGTCATAAGCTGTACATATAGGTATTTTCTGCTGTATGACACAAGGAAACAACAATATATTTAGTCAAAATTAGTTTAAAATGAGCAAGACGTAGACCATCTGTCGGCCATTTTAAAAACAGTATGTCATCATTAAAATCGCGGTAATGGTATTTTATCTAAGTTTTTTCATGTTTCAGTAAGAATTTCTACATGTTATTTTGCATAATTTTCGGCCCCAGAATAAGTACTGTGTTTTAAACCGGTATATTAAAATTTCATAGTTATAATAATCACAAATGACAATTTTCATGAAGTGGAACGCCAATTTCCAAGTACCTTCAATGATTTATGATACCTCTTATATATTTTACGTAAAAGATTAAATCTTTACCAAAACCATCAACGATTAGATACTTGTTGCATTTAATGTTAACTTCAATGTTTATAAATATCTCACAATAAATAGCTATATACATACTCGTAATTATTTCCTTGATATTGATAAATCTAACACATTTAATATTATCAGGCCTGATCAGGTAAGGAAAGTTAGTTGTTCATGCACGTGAAAATCGAAACATTCGGTCATGTAATTTTACAATGAAAAGAAAACAGAAGCCATAATAATATAATATCATAATGTAATATCTATAATTCTTTTGTCACTGTCAACATTGTTTGATTAAACTAATTAATAAATATATAGCAGTTTATTATGAGAGCTTTTAAAAGCGTATTTCGTACAAACAGTTTTATTACTATTGAAATTTAAAGAAAAAGATCTAATAGATCTACGAAAAATTCATTCCGAATAAAAGGGAAAATAAAACTTGCTTCTAGATCGTACGGCAGTGTACTTTTAACACACAAAACGTATACAACTCTGTAGAAGTTACTGAACTGTACAAAACACTAGAAATGCAGACAGGAATTTTAACGAAAGAAATTTAAATTAGAAAGTATTTAGAAAATAAAATGCTACTATTAGAGATCTACCAAGTGTATTAAAGACATAAATACACGTCATATATATAGTTGTGCCAGAAGGTGATAATCGGCCCTGAATGAAAAATGCCCTCGGCCTGAAGCCCACGATACCATTATTCATTTTTGCAGGCCAATTATCACCATTTGGCCCTACTCTACCGTGTATCTCTTAATCACGGGAACTGACCACCTGTTCTCGGTGTTATCGATAAATCATCAATTATCTCATGCCTTCTGTCATGTCATGAGTAGATGTAGTTCAGTAGTATATATATGTTATGTTTTCAAAAATATTTTTCATTATTTTTAATATTCACTAATCAAAGAAAAACACACTAGTATATTGAACTTGAACATTCATATAAGTATCTTAGTATAATACTGCAGATATCTGAACTACATCTACTCATCATAAATAAATAATTCCTCCTTTCCATGTAAATTTCACTACTTGAGCTGAAGGAAACCCAATTGATTGATACTTTTTGGCGTGATTTTACTATCTTTTGCTACAGTTAAACTTATGCGAGTTGTTTTTGCTAGCATCATACATAACTCCAATGGTACTTGATAGCGTTTTAAAAAATGGTACTGTATGTCATTAAAATGTGTGACAACATGCTATTTAATAAAATACAAGTGTACATAAATATGCTCTATTTAAGTTAAAATATGTAAATTTAACCGTCACCTCTCCTATCGCCAGACTGGCCAAGAGGCAGACTCGGTATAATTTTGCTCGGGCTATGGAAACGTATTTTTTTCTACTTGCATGTATATACCAATACTGTTATATATTTATTTATACACTTTTGATGCGGCTTAAAGAAATCCTTATTGATGTAATGTACATAGAAATACGATGGAATAATATTGTATATTTTGAGGTCTTTTTTTCTACTTATTTTTGGTAATTACATACATATACGCTTTAATTAGTTCGCTCTTTCCAGTTATTTATTATTGAAATATATTTGCACATTAATAACTTTAAAATGAATCTCTAAGTTCTTTTGACATATTATTCTGTCTCAGTTACACATATTATTTCTAATTTTTATTTTCTTTTTTACTATTTCTTTTTTTACTTCTTAAACACCGACTCGATTTATCCTTTACTCTTGATAGTTGTTTCACTGTCCATTATATACATGTACATAAATGAACTTTCTGTGATGACTGGTGTGTCTTGTATGTGTTTTGAACAAGGTATAACATAAGATGAAACCATTGGCCTAACCAGTCATCATGATTTCGTTCACACTTAACTCACATTGGCGATTCTATGTAATATTCATTGTTTTTATATACCTACATCTATCATTCAATTCTATCTTCCATGTTGATAATGCAATCACTACTCACTCATCAGAACGTCATATTAAACTGTACATTCAGATTCAAACGCACACATCATATGTGTGCAATTCACCTCAGAAATGTCACATTCTCATTTGTTATAAGCATCCAATGTTCATTCTTAGGATTTCTCATGTGTTTGATATGCCTTTCTGGTGATGTGCATCCTAATTCTGGACCAGAGATTTCAAGATCAAATTCAAGTAGTTCCCTTTCATCCAAATCTAGCGTAGACTTGACAGATATTTCTTCTTATTTTTCTTTTATGCACAACAATTTTCAGAGCATAAAACAAAAACTGGACACGCTCTTTGCCGAGTTTAAGGACTTTGATCAATATCCTCTCTTTCTCTGAAACATGGCTAAATGGTTCTACACCAAACTTTAACTTTCATGATCCAGACCAGAAAGAAAAGATCGATTAGGGGGCAGCCACGGAGGAGTGCTTTTGTATGTAAAAAGCTGCTATCGTTATTTGCGTTGTCATGACTTGGAATTTCAAGGATTTGAGTACATTTGGGTTGAAATTATTAGCTAGACAAAACACTTTCTCTATGGTACTTGACTACCGCCCACCTAACACTTCTACTCTACAACACTCCTTAATCGAAGATTCCATTAATCTTGCTGTTGATTCCGGTATACCAAACGTCATAATCCCGGGAGATTTCAACATTAACATGCTTAATTCTAGTGCCTCTAGAAAATATTTTAGTCAGCAACTTTCTCTTACTCAAGTCATTTCAGAGCAAACCCACTTTACTGAAAGCTCCTATACTCCCTAATCGATATTATTCTCACATCGAATCCTTTATCCAATACACTGTTGGTGTTGGTGAGCCTTGTCTAGACCAACCTGTTCGCTATCACTGTCCTGTTTTTGGCCTATTAAATTTTAATAAACTAATACTCACACTTATACAAGGCATATACGGCTGTTTGACAAAAACAACTACCAACAACTTCGAGAACTTGCAGCTTAAAAAACTGGCACCAATTTAAAAGCAAACTAGTCAAATCGGTCCCAAGTCATATCGGCCCCAAGTCAAATCGGCCCCAAAATTAGTCAAATCGGCCCCAAAACCAGTCAAATCGGCCTCAAAACTAGTCAAATCGGCCCTAAAGTTATTTTTGTGAAACATCCTATAGATATAAGAACTTTCTTCACCAAGTTTAGAGTAAGTGCACACAGATTGAATATAGAAACAGGCAGATATAAAAAGATCCCAGTTAATCAAAGGTATTGTAACTGTTGCTCTTCCAATCTTGTAGAAGATGAAATTCATTTTTCCATGTGTTGTACAAAATTTGATAGTTACAGAGAACTACTATTTAGACAAATTGAAATATCAAATAAGAACTTTTGTATGTTGAATAATAAGCAGAAATTTGTTTGGTTAATGTCCTCGGAAGACCCTAGAGTCTTGAATGTCTTTTCTAAATACCTACTCGAAATTTATAATAAAAGAAATCTTATGTTAGGTAGTACTATTAGTAATAAAAATTTGTCAGACCATTGAATGTATATTATTGTACTTGAATATCGAATGAGTAATTAGTGTTTTTTTGTTGTTGTTGTTGTTGTTTTTTTTTTGATTTTTTAATACTGTTTTATTTATTTACTTCTTATTTTAACATTACTATGCCTGTGTTATTTGTTTTTCCAATAATACGAATTAAGCTTTAGTTACTTTATTGTCTTCATTTCTACCATACAATACACAATTTGTTGGTTGATATATTTTGTTTCATGCCTTATGTTTTATGCTTGTGATTATATATGTCATATAGTATGACCCTTGATTGGTGAAATAAAATTATTCTATTCTATTCTATTCTATTCTATTCCTATATTGGTTAAAATAAGCTAGGTTATTAACTGAAAATTTCAAGGTTTTTGAAACAAAATTGCGCTTTAACTTAAATGTACAGCTGTACCAATTAAAAATTCATTACAAAATTGCTTTAATTTGGAGATTGTTTCCGTTGATGGACTTAATTGTAAAAAATTGTTATTTGTTCTTTTTGATAACTTTATTAAATTGATAAATTGTGAGAAGTGTTGGTTAATCAAAAATGACTGATAATCGTATAGACTGTGGATCCGGAAGTGTTGTGCGGAAACGGCAGGAGGCAGTCACTTAATTGTGATGCTTGTGAAGTTGTGACAGATGGCAACATAAAAAGTGTAATACCTATGAGTTACTTTAATTGACAAACTTATCAGGAGTACAAATATTGCCGTTTTATGTGAAAATATAAAACATCATGACTAACAACAATAAATACTTAAAAATAATGGTGAATTAATTGCCATAGCAAAATAAGTAAAGTTTAAAATTTTATTTTATTTCTAAACTCAACTTTTTAAAAGAGTTGTTTTCAATTTAGATTATAGTTTATTGATAAAAAATAAATAGAGATGCAATGCTACTGGAATAACGAATGCGTGATGCAATTAACGGTAATTAAGTGTGGACAAAGTGCTACCTGATTAAACGTGACGGTACAAAATTATGTGTTGTTCAAACTTAATTTGATTTGTCGCACATGGGTGGATACAGAAC